ATCCGGAACTTTATCTCGCGCCAAAGTACGCATTTTGCGTAGGAGTTGTGTGGGTTTCTGGTCTCCAAGTTCTATTTCTGATAGAAGTTTTTGTAGCTGTCGACTGTCGGATTCTTCGTATGCGGAGATCAGACGATCCTTCAGTGAATTATACTGGTCGACTGCTGGTGGGTTGTACAACAGGTCCGCAATTTGTTCGATGTCTTGTTTCTCAAGTTGGGCTATCACCATCTGTGCTAATTGCGCTTGGCTCTTCTTTAAACCATTCGTTGCGGCTTCAAAACTGACGAACCAAAGTCGTGGTTTGTCTCTCCAAAACGGTGGTATTCTTAACGATAGAGATATACCGGCGATTTCTGGTTCCTTTACCGGGTTTGATGTATATGTGTTTGCCTCCTGCTCCATAATGACGGCTTGATTACACTGATTTTATATAAACTGAAGTCTTCCTTCTCGGTGTTCGTACGGGTTTCCTTCGCGGTGTTCGTGCAATAGTAGTGGTACGTCGCAGGGTGTTCCTTCTTGGTGTTCGTACCGGATCTTCCCCCTCGGTGTTCGTACGGGGTCACCACTGTAATAGTGGAGATGAACTGTCCACTATTAACAGACTCCGAGTGGTTTTCTTTTAAGGTAGAGAAATGAAACTACTGTTTATAAGCAAAGCGGAGTATGAATTTAGAATGTACTGTCGAATGGGATTCGGAATGGAATATCTTTTGCATCAACCTTGCCTATATTTATATGGCTGGCTCACTATTGATTTGCCAATGGTAACAATTAATATTTTGCCTAGCCAATTATATTGCTTATTTTATGACCAATGAAAACTATTTAAAATATACAATTATCTACGTTTCGTTTCCCGGCGTGAGACTTGTTTGTTGTTCACGAAGCTACGTCGCTGGACCGGGCTATATAAGACATGCAGATCGGTGCGCACGCGTAGTCGGCGGGCGGCGGCGGTGTGGAATACAGCTCCGGAACAGCAAGAGGAAACGAACTGCGGCGTTGAAGAAACGGCTCACCATTGGTCGACGGATACGTGACGATAGCGGCGTGTGAAGTCGGTGTGGCGCTGAATGATATTTGCGGCTGCTTCTTGTTTCTTTATAAGGACGTCAAATTATCTATATACAGTCCGCAGTATCTCAGTAGCCAAGAATAATTAGGAAATAAAATGTTTTTTTATTTATTCTCGCCTTCCGCGTTATGGTAGCAGCGGAGTATATATTATTTATTCCCGTTTCGGTTTGATTAATCTGGCTGCTACAGACCTCTCCCATAGATTGTCTCGTAGGAGAAAATTTACCGTAGTTTTCATTATTTTGAGTTCTTAATCTGCTAACCTACTGTTGCAGTATCCCCATGTTAATATATATACATATCAGTACGGTTAGTTTAAATAAGGTCGAATTTTTGACAAAGCTAATGAAAATCATAGTATCTAATTATAATTATTATTTCGAATTTATGTATCTAGTTTTACCCGAAAGCAACCGGCCACAACTAGTTCATGTGTACCGCCAAATAGCAGTGCTTACATAGGTGTGTCACGGCCTGAGTGGTATAGAGTGTCTGTAGAGCTATGTTATAAAACTATGTTGCATTCCATCTTAGCCTTCAGAAGTGCCAACCCATCTGTAGCGTTCTTTGTTTAAAGTTGGTTACAGTTGTCCATTAGCTGCGGCTCGCTCTTTTAACGAGGAATGGAAGTTTACTTGTGTCTTCCAAAAAAAGGATCTCCTGTTCTTGTCACTAATATGTAGAAACATATAAGCATTATGCCGTTATTTTGAGCTCTGGTTATTTTTCTCCGTTCAAGTATCAACTTACCATCAAGTGGACTGTGTGCTCGTTAATCAGGTTCATCAAGTCAATTCTTTAAAAAATATATCTTTCTACATTCTTCTATACACATTCAAATATTTGTGTAGTACATGACGTTGAATCTGTGCACTTTAGACTATAAGTGATTTATTTGTGCCACGTTTTATCTAGTTCGGATAATTAGTCACAGATGAGGTAGCAATAAAAATGGGCTACACTACATTCCGCCCTAATAAAAAAGACGTTTAAATCAAAAATAAAAATATCTTAAATTCTTTAAAAAAATTCTTGGTATTTTCTTAAATCTAATTGACATCAACGTGCAACTTATATTATTTATATATATTTTATGTATTACTACTACTACTACCCAAACAGATTACCCATTTGTGAAAACTTATTTACATGGTAGAGCCATATAAGTAGCATAGTTGTAGTACGAAGAGGGCGGGCCTACCGGAGAAGGATCACGCTCTCACAAAATACCAACCTGAAATAGTAGCTTAATGCTGCTATGTTTCGTATGGTGAGTGTAGAGAACAGGAGACCCTTTTTACTGGAAACGAGGCATTCCATCTTAGTCCTCACGGGTAACAACGCATCTGCATTTTGATTCGTAATCGAGGATAGATGTAGATGTCTATGGGCCACAGTAACCACTTACCATCAGGTGGACTGTGTGCTTGTTTATCAACCTATTCTATAAAAAAATACTCTGTGACCTCAAGTCTACGTACCATACAGTATTTATCAAACGCGGTTAGTTTTCCTGTTATAAATAAAAAATATTATTATTTAAAACAATTTTATTTAAATTTACTTAACTTTAAATTTAGAAAAGATGAAAGCGGTGGTCTTTTCATTAAAATACTAAGGTTTATCTTTTCGTTCTATTTATAAGTCTTAGTTTATACGTAATCTACTCTAAAGCTAACCGAGTGATTAGCGGTAAATTGAAAAAGCTTTCAATTTTACCCCTTTTCTGTGCCGCTAAACCTTAAAAGGGTTTAATCGGTTTCTTCGCAATTCGTTATACCTACATCAAAATTAAGATTTAACTTAATTTTAATACAGGAAGGGATAAATTAATTTGAGATTTTTACTTAACATAAAGTTGGCTAATTGTTCCGAGTATTTTTTTTAAATATGATTGAATATTTGAACGAAATATTTCATTTGCATACTAATGTGTTATCTATACCTCTTCCCCTCGGACCTCGTCTACGAGTAGTCGTCTGTAAACCCTTACATTAATTAATTAAAATCCTTAAATTGAAATTGAATAAAATAAATACTCAAGTAATAAATAGGAGTGCATAAAACTAAGAAACCTACATATAACGTCTACGCGTGCGCTCCTGGTACATTGAGAATCAACACGCCTAATCTCCGTTCACAAGCGCAAAATTGGAAGGTACGATTTTTCCTTTTTGTTGCTCAGGGTTGTTTTGGCACAGTTTTAGTGACTACATATTACCAAACTATTGTTTTCTTCACAAAACAGTCATTGAATTTATGATACCCTGGTACATATGATAGCCGGAAGAAAATATAGCAGCAAATTGAGGCGCCTGTCACTTTTTAAAACTGAATATTTTCTTCAATTGTTCTGATGTCGATTTCGGCTTATGCTACTCTGGTATTGAGCAAATAGTACAAACACCAGCTACTCCTGAAACTATTTCCTTTGGGTTTTCATTAACTTTCTATTGTTTTCTTATGCCCTAGTACAATATTAAACGATTTTTGAAAAGTGGCCTTGTGGCAAAACTAAACTACCAAGTTATACATATCTAATAAAATGCCTCTTAAACGCAGTCCCCACCTAAGAAAGCAATTGCAACAACGTCTATTCCTCAAGTTAATCCCTATATGGATAAATCCTTTTCGGATTCATGCATAAACGAGAGAAATTTAAACGAGGAAGGGAAGATGAAATAACTTCTGAACTGAATGATTTTAAAGAGGAAATAAAAAAAAATTGTTTTCATCGTTTATAACTACGCAACAGTTAGAACTTCAAGATATCGCCAGTAAAATAAAGGAAATTCAGCAATCGAATTATAATATTGATAATTCTATCGCTATCCTGACTAGCCAAAATGAGGAGTACAAAAAGAAAATAAATCAAATGGAGATCCAAGCCAAAAAGATCGAGGATACATAACCTTACTAGAGGAGAAAGTTGAAAACATACAAAGATACAATCGGAAAACTACAATTGTGATAAAAAATGTACCAATTATAAACAGTGAAACAAAGGAAGATCTAATAAGCATGGTTCAACACTTGTCCAAACACATCGACTGTAAGATCGATAAATCCGATATAAAGGATATCTACAGAGTGCGTACAAAAACCCGAAAAAATGAAAATACTAAAAACCTTCCCGTTGTAGTAGAACTGGGATCCAATATTTTGAAACGCGATGTACTGAGGATGTCGAAATCATTTAATATTAAAAACAAATATAAACTTCAAGCAAAACACCGGATTTACGACAAAAGAAGATACACCTGTTTTTGTTTCCGAACAACTAACTCCTAAAAGCTCTAGACTATTTTTTCTAGCCAGAGATCTCGCAAAATCAAAGACCTTTAAGTTTTGTCGGATGTCCTTTGGTCGAGTTTATGTGAGAAAGAACGAGAATTCTCCAGTTATTGTAATAAGAAACGAGTCACAAATACACCATCTTCTACAAGAAAGTTCACAAGCATGACTCAATGGTTTCATCCAATTCTTGTCATCTACATTAATATTATTAGTAATAAGTTACATTGTATTATTTAAGTATATTGTCCTAACTGTAGGTATTAACATCTATGTAGCAATTCTGTCTATTATAATTTATACTTCAATTACTGACAAAAAACCTCCTAAGGTATCTTCACTCACACTCATATATTATAACACACTTTTGAATCATACAATACACTCATACACAGCTCATACTCACGCAATCATCACCCATTTAGGTGTTAATTCTTATTTACAAACATTAACTCTAAGGTTGGTCGTTCCTGTTTATTTCAGACCTTTCTCGAATAAATACCATTACAGCATTACACTAAAAACAAACCCTTTGGCTAAACCATCTATACAGTATCACTTATGTTCTCACACACCTATTGATACTAAATCGGCAAAGTACTTTATTTATTTTTATTGCAAATATGGTCATAGTTAACTCTGTAAGCACAATAACGGACTTGGATCAAGTTGATATAGCTAACCGTATAAGTTGTGATATACAGGACCTAACAAAGTGCATTAGTATTGGTAAAACGGATCTTACCATATTATGTCAAAACATTAGAAGTATTTATCGTAACATTGATAGCCTCCAAGCTACCCTATCACTTCTCAAATTTGAAGTAGACGTCTTAGTTTTAACAGAATGCAGACTAGATAAATCAAAGCCAATTCCACAGATCCCTAATTACTCGTATACAGCTTTAGAAACAACGTACAACATTAACCAGAATGATGGTGTAGTGATTTATGCTAAATCTCACCTAAATCTTGAATTTATGGAAATTAAACTCAAAGATGCCTCTTGCATACAACTAAGAATTCTCGATCTGACAATATTGGGCATTTATCGTTCACCTTCATACTCAAACGCATCTGAATTTATTGAGTCCTTGAGTGCACACCTTGGAAACATAAAATCTTATCGTAACATAGTCATCTCTGGAGACATCAACATCCACCTCATTCAGTGCAGGAACGAACAAACTACGACGAACGAGCAATAA